CTACTAATGGTTGCCCTGCTGATGGATGGAGATTTATTAGTACTGGAGATGAGAAAATTGTCAGGTATGCACGGTGTGTTTGGCGTGTCCTCATTAACGTGCGTTCTGTTGTCATGGATACGCATACGACTGGATAGGCCCATGCGGTGACTGAATGCGCGTGGGCAGTGCGGACAGTAGAGGCAAATGCAGCGAGTGTATGTTGGGGCCTCTGAAATTGGTCCGCCGGTCACAGTGCCATGGATTCGCAAGTGACGATCACAACGAGGGCAGTGTGGGATCGAGTCCTCATTGCTGGTGGTTGGAGGCGACGGCGGTGAGGGTAGTGGTTGACGATTAAAAGGAAACATTGCAATCTGGTGCTCAGTCCGAAGGAGCGATTGGGTCAACTGCATGGCGACTTTCAAATTCGTCTCTATGGAATCAAATTGATACCAAGCAGAAATCACGCAGAGGCGGCATCATTACCTCTCGCTCTTTTCTCGCCCATTTAAGACCCAGTGACAAGGCTACGTCAAGTCGAGTGGACATGAGATCGGATGTAGTGACTCACACGAGGAGACTCCCTCAGTCACATTTACGCACGGCGGTTATGCAGCGCATGCAATTTACGGTAATCGTGGCGATGGGAAGAAGAATAGGTGGAAATTGACGAAAGGCACGCCGAGGTGGCACACAACGGACATAATAGCAGAAAAAATTCTTTAAATTCATATACATTTCAGTTCGAATCCCACCGAGGCCGCGAATTTGTCAAAATTGGGTTAGCTGAATATACATTCCATTATTTTTTAAGGGTCATTTGACTTTTTTTCAGCAAATAATTCAACTATTAGCCGCGGTACAAAATGAGTACACAAAACAAGTAACACGGGAAGATCAAAAACTACACATAATGCCACCCGAATCCATGTCATCCGAAACCACGCCATAAGAAGCCACAGGTAGTAGCCAAACACACGTCAACCGCGAGAACATCCCTCCCCCTCCTCCTCCCGGCTCGCCGGAGCCAACGTCCTCAACATGATAGCGCTAGCATGCATGAGGCCAGGGAACACTGAGATTACTAATTACACCCCCCCCCCTACCCCGAGGACCATTCAATCACTGCATATAACTGACCGTTTTAATCCCTGCAAGTGTATTGGCCTGATAACGAATTGCTGAAAACATGTGTTTGCCAATCGTAAAGTAGGAATATTTGCATAAGGGAGAAACTTAAACTGTCGCCATCCTAAGTAATCATCGGTAAATAAATTTCAATAAGCATGCTAATGACCTTATTATTGTAGTTAACAGAAACAACGAGGAGTAGAAATCAGTATACAACAAGCAAAATAGGCCAACCG